AACATTGAATTTTTAAAATTATTTCAGCTGCGTTTAAGATTTAGATCAGTGGTTCTTAACCTTTTTTAGAGTACCGAACCCCCACCAGTTTCATATCTGCATTCACCGAACCCTTCTTAATAGTTCTATCGTCTGCACTGACAAAATGTAATCGTGAATCATATGAATAGGGTGTGTGTCTTGACCTCCGCCGAACCCCTGAGATATACTCACTGAACCCCTGGGGTTCGATCGAACCCAGTTTAAGAACCACTGATTTAGACACCTTACAGAAATGACCGCCATATAGGCTTATTTAACTGACATGACAACTGCCACATAGGCTTGTTTAGCTGACATGACAATGCGCTTATTGTTCAGCTAGGATAGACAGCAATCACAACACTGGTTAATGAAAGATTTGCGTGTACTATTAAGGAAGACCTTCGTTAGCTTATTAACCGTGGCAGACCGCGTTAAAAAAATAATAGGAATTTATTTTTCAGCATCTTAAATTGCGCCAAATTATTCAGTTAATTTTGAATCTTTTATTTCGTGACATTAAAAAAAAAACAATTTTGATAATTATTTTATTGTATTTTATTTTAAAAATAAAATGTTTTTCTATATTCTAAATAGATAAAGATGAAGCACTTACATTAACATGATATGACAGAAATTCACCTATATCCCCCCCCCCCCCAACCCTTCCACCCCCACCCAATTTAACAAAACCACAAGCAATAATATCTTGACTTACTTAAATTTTTGACGACCCCTTTTTTTTAAATTAACTCGATCAAGCGACGTTTTCTAGTTTGTTTGTCACACTTTAAAGTCCATTTCATCAAAGACTAAAACATGACCATAGACCTACGCCCCTTATAGGGCTTCGCTGTGAATTGGTTGTCCATTCTGAGTTTGATTCTGCTTGGCGGATTTTATAAAGTAACTTAATTTAATTTTTGCTTCCAGAAAACTACTGTGATGGGGGGGGGGGGGGGTGAGACAAGATGTGTGTTGTGTCTATTGGTTCAGGGTCGGGGGAGTGTGTTGGTGAGCAAAAGGAGAGGGGTGGAGGGAGAGAGATTAAGAGAGAATGATAGAACATTACATGAACAACACAAAATATAAAGAGACACACACAAAGAGGGAGAGAGAGAATGAAAATAAACATCATAAGACATATAGAGAGAGACACAAAAAGAGGGGGAGAGAGATTGAGAGAGAGACTGGGAGAGAATGAGAGAGAGAATGAGTAGAAAGTGAACAGCACAAGACAGACCCACATAGAGGGAGAGATATAGAGAGAGAGAATTGAGAGAGTATTACATAAACATCACGCGACATATAGAGAGACAATAAGAGGGGGAGAGAGATTGAGAGAGAGACTTTGAGAGAATGATAGAGAGAAGATAGAACAAACAACAGCAGAGACCCACGCAGAGGGAGAGATAGAAAGAGCAAATCAAAATGTGTGCATGAATTTATGGAGGTAATTTATTTTCGGAATTTTCGCACCGTATTGTTTTATTTGACAAGGCGTGGGCGAGTTATTTTTTATTGAATGTAACGAAATATTCCGATAGAGCTAACAGCATTAAAAAAAAAAGATAGAGAAAAAATATTCTATAGAGCTAAAAAATGTGGGGGTGGAGGGTGGTAGTGTACTTCATTACATACAAGCATACACGACAGCATACAAGTGCGCTGTGCTTTATAATGTAAGCGAGGGCGTGGTTGCGTGGACCCTTACATTTTTCAGGGTTATACTAAAGTGTTGAGCAACAAATGAAAAGTTTAAAATTAACTTGTACATTTTTAGTTTTTTTATATGAATAGATCTATTTTTAAAATGTGTTATTGTATGTTTGTTTGATTTTTGGGGTTTATTTTTTACGAAAAAAGCTTATCCAATCATGTTGCTCGTACCTTATTAATAGAGTGACATCCCTTTAAAAACAAAAATACACACAGACGGACTTATTATTATCATAAGATATGGGAGACAATACACTTTTACAATTATTTTTTAACAAAACAATAGATTTATTTTAAAAATTTAAAAATTCTAATTTTACCCCACTATTTGCATAAAACAAAACAAAAAAAATTAATTGATTGGAAGTCGAGTGAAGATATTTCAGTCAGACTATAATTTATCGTCTGCTAATTGGAGGCAGGCGTGGCTTGTTTCCTGTTGACTCAAGCTTGTTGTTTTTTTTTTCAACATGAAATCAGGTTTGTGCTCTTAGACGTACAATACAAGGAGAATCGTAAATAGATCTTTTTGTACACACTTAGTATAAAAAAAAAAAAAAAAAAAAATGTACACACTTAGTATGGTAAAAACTGTAATACTAAATCGAATTCACAACTGACGCTATAAATTACGTGTCTGAGGCGAAAAAAAAACGTAGATAGTTTATACATACAAGAAATAGATGGTATGTATGGAACAATTATTAGATGAAGGTTTTGAAAGAAAAAAAAATGAGCTTGTGAAGGACAAATTTGATGTTGTTCGTAAATATAAATACAGTTAACTAAAAGGTTGTTTGAAATGTGAAGCTAATACTAGACAATTATTTTGTCGGAACTATCACGCCTTACCCCCCCCCCCTCCCTCACCTCTAACCCTTCCCACCTTCTCCCTACCACCCACACTATTTTATTTTATTTTCAAAATCATTACAAGGGTAGAGAACTCTAATTTAACCAACGTCGCAGGAGTTATTACCAGTTGTTCTTTTGTTTTAAAAATAATTTTTAAAGTTCTTTTTTTATTTTTTAATTAGCTGTTTACAAAATGTTAAGTTTCTATTGAAAAATAAAATTTAAAAACCTTTAAGATCATACTTAGTTTTATGTTTCAAAAGTATCTATAAAAAAAGGTGGGCGGGGGGGGGGGGTCGAGTTTGATAAAACATTTGCTCTGAATTTTTCTGAGCTTTATCTGAAGTGAAAACTGATTCTAAAGTTTGAATATTATGAGAACTTAGTGGATTTCAATTTGAACGCTTGTTTAATTCTGTCTAATCACATCTTAATTAAACCCTCGTGTTTTCCCTAGAAAAGATTCCATTATGATTTAATTACAACTCACCGTGGCGATAAATTAAATAGATTGTTGACATCATAATTGGACATCAGTAGATTTTTATTTTTGTCATTTTAATCAGGGTTACCTTGGGGTCATTAGCGGCAGTCTACAGAGTGGGAGGGTTGTGACAATGTACAGAGTGGGGGGGTTGTGACAATCTACAGAGTGGGTGGGTTGTGACAATCTACAGAGTGGGTGGGTTGTGACAATCTACAGAGTGGGTGGGTTGTGACAATGTACAGAGTGGGGGGGGTTGTGACTATCTACAGAGTGGGGGGGTTGTGACAATCTACAGAGTGGGTGGGTTGTGACAATCTACAGAGTGGGGGGGTTGTGACAATCTACAGAGTGGGTGGGTTGTGACAATCTACAGAGTGGGTGGGTTGTGACAATGTACAGAGTGGGGGGGTTGTGACTATCTACAGAGTGGGTGGGTTGTGACAATCTACAGAGTGGGTGGGTTGTGACAATCTACAGAGTGGGTGGGTTGTGACAATCTACAGAGTGGGTGGGTTGTGACAATGTACACAGTGGGTGGGTTGTTCTGCGGCAATCAACAGTGCTGTAGTTGTAGTTGGTATGCTTCTCTACTATTGGCGCTGTATTTTTAGTCTGTTGGGGAATATAAATCGATCCTCCGGAGGTGATGTGATAGTCTTAATTAAATCATTTGAATGTACTTAAATGAAAATAAGTTACCTATTGTATATATATATATATATATATATATATATATATATATATATATATATATATATATATATATATATATATATATATATATATAAGTGTATGTGTGTGTATGTGTATATTCATCTTGATTAAGATATCTATAAAGAGACATTTAGATATAGGTCTATATATAGAGAGATACATAGAATTATATAAATACAGAGAGAGAGAGTGATAGATTTATATATATATATATATATATATATATATATATATATATATATATATATATATATATATATATATGTATGTATGTATATGTATATATATTATACATATATTATACATATATATATAGAGAAAGAGAGACACATAGAGCGAGAGAGAAAAAGAGAGAGAGAGATAGAGAGATAGAGAGAGACGCCTTTTGATACGCTCGAATTAATTAAATTTGACCACAGACTGTAGCCAAATTTATATTCTGATTAACATTGTCTTAGCAAATATCTAGAACACACTTGCCTTATTATAAATTATAACGGGATGCGGTACGCCTATTTATACGGCGTATTTTCCCAGAGAAAACACCAGGGCCCTATGTCGCCCGACCCTTGTGCCCCAGGGCCGGGCTACCCTTCAAAGTTATCCGGGGCTATCAGCGCCTACGTCACGTGCGTGGCCCGGGTGAGGGAACCATGTTGGTGAACATGACTTTTGGAGGGGCTAATACGGCTAATTCAGTGCGGGAGATGGTCCATGCAACAATGCTAATTTCCTGGCACCTTGACTCGAACCCCCCGGGGCGGGGGTATAAAGATCTGGGTGTTCTATGGAACTGACTTTTACATGTTTGTTTCGTAACCCCGGTGGGGATTTTTATTCACGTTTTTATATTTCTCATTATTTTTCTACTAGGTGTTAAAAAGCTTAATTTTTTTTTATCTTAAATGATATTAAATGGCATAGCGTGGACTTACGGTAAAGTGCACAATTTCTAAACCAAAAGAACCGAGTTCGAACCCCGTCGTCCCATACCCCACTGTAAGTAAAGTATAATTCCCCTTCCAAACTTGGCGGTTTATGGGGCAATGAAGTAGAATTCACCTGTTTCTGTGACCTCGGCTTATGAAGGGATAGTGAGTTCAGTTCAGTACTATGCCTAGCCGCCTTTACTTTCCTTAACGTTAGTTGGGTACCTATCATGTATTTAAAATTGTATTGACCAGATTTTTGTTCTTGTCCACAGGAAGAGAAGTTGTTGGGGTCCCATGTGCGCGATGGGCAATATGGGAGCACACGCAGGGATGAAAGCTGCTCGCCAAGCCTTATTGGTATATCTACGCGCATGCGCAGCAGATCCCAAATGTTCACCAGGTCAGTTTATTCAAAACTTAGGAAAACCTTTTTTTAAAATAGTTAATGCAAGGGGAAGTAAGCACCAATGAGTAGATGTACTAAAAATAAACAAAAATAAAAATAAAATTAAATAATTATTTAAAATTAAAAAAAAAATTATGAAATTATTTTTTTTAAAAACATAAGCTAATGCAAGAGACACGTATATGAACACATTTAAGAGACGACGATTATAAGAGCCGATGACCGTCTTTCATTCTTGAAAAGGATAATTGCGGTACATGATCGTTTACAAGAATAAAATACTTAATAAAAGCTTGCTAGAATGTATCTTTCAATGTACAATCTACAATCTCAAGCCTCGCTACGAAAATACGATTTTCAAAGCGCATTTTAATACAATATTTGAAAAGCGTAAAATTGGTTATTTTCTAATTTTTCTATAAGCCAGTTAACGCGAATTAAATAATGAATATCCCTTTAATAACAATTTTTAACTTTCCTACCTAAAAAAGTATTCAATTTTGACTAAAAAAAAAGAAAAAAAGTAGATTAGGTTCTAAAAATAGCTCGATCACGTGATCTATTTATAGCGGCAATGCATAACTTCCGCAACATGTAAACAACACATGTTTATTAGAACTAATTAAACAAGCACCAAATAACCCAGGACTGCGTCGATATTTTTTTAAACTATTATCTGCGAGATCAATACACACGACGCCAGGGTTGTGTCAGGATAATCGATAACCCGGACCCGTGTCTGATTGATCTCTTAAATCACCCCATGTGTTTACTTTTTTTTTTTCTTTTTTTTTTTTAATATTAGGTCAAGCGCATGAATATCGCGTCTCCGTTAAGCTCCTGGTTAAGGTTAAAGTTTAGATAAGAGCTTAGAGTTAATGACTATAACACGTGACCAAACATATTCAAAAGACTTGACCTTTAAATTATCGCTTTAATAATACGCTCACTTATCAGGGGATATAACCCAACTTAAGGGATATAACTCTTAATACTATTCTTGAATATTAGAAAGAATAATATCTCTAAAATATTATTCTTCCTAATATTCAAGATTTTTTTTTTAAGAGTTATGTCCTTTGAGTTGGGTTACATGACTTGATAATAGCGCTTGCCTCTGCTGAAGACATTTCAAATTCTAGGGATTACGGCGTGTATTTTCTGTTTGTGTTTCTCTCCCTTGGTTTATTCTCTACTCAGTTTTCAGGATAAGTACTGACACGCCTCATTGCACACGCGATTATAGCTCGCGGTTAATTTAACTATCATTTTTTTTACTAAAACAAATTAGGTCAAGAACTTCTGTAATTTAAACTCACCCAAGCAAATCTATAGTTCTCGCAAAAAAAAAAATTAAGAAAAAAAAGCCAAAAAAAAGCGATCAATTTTGAAGGGTCTATTTATCTTTCGCGTAGGGACTATTATTTTTTAAATTAACAGTGAATTTCTTGTAATGTTAGAAGCGTCGCTAGGGTTAAGCTAGTGTGTGTTTTTAGTACTACAAATAATGGTATTTCTGTAAACATAAGCGGAAAGCGAAAAGCTTGTTGTTTAAAAATAGTATTTATAGTTGGGAAAAAATCGCGGTTCAGTCAAGGCTCCGAGTTATCTCAGGGCTAACCAAGAGTCACCATATCTTGCGTTTCTCCTCTTCTTAAATCTGTAACAACTAGCATTCGTTTCGAAAGCAAAAAGTTTAATTAACATTATTAATTTATATAAGGTTAATCTTATTTTATTTGATTGTTTAAAAATGTAATAAACAAAACCTACGTATTTCCGAAAACAATTAAGTTATCAAATTTAAACATAGAAATTTATTTTAAAATTTCTTTGCAAAAATTATCAGGCTTTTAAATTCCAAAATGTTTTGACTCAGCTATTTTAAATAATTACCACTACATCGAAGTTTAATATTTCATGTTTTAATGAGTCCCATATCCAATTAAACTCCAACAGACGAAATTAAATACATTTGATATTTATTTGATATTTATCAGTCTATCAATGCCTACACGAAGAGTTGTCGCTCTTGTTAGGGGAAAATTTAGGCGTCTAGGCGGTGTCATTAAATAGTCTTTAATTTTTTTTTTAAATCTTCATATAGTCATTCAAGTATCGTAGGTTAAGGTTTTTGTATTTTATACCGAAAGTATGGATGGGTTGGGCATTCGTATAGCTTCCCACCTTACACAGCGCATAATATTAATATTTTTATAAATCAAATATAGCTTGTACTAGAAAAAAAAAAGATGTTAGCATTTACATTTTTTTTATTTTTTAAAAATGATTTTCTTTCTGATTGGCAGTTTTTTGGGTTTTTTGGTTGTTGTTGTTTTTTTTTTTTTTTTTTTTTTTTTTGGCACATTGAATAAATGATTCAAATTTTAAATTGCATGTGTGTTTATTTGCCGTGATTGATAGTTTGTTTTTTGTGATTAAAAATGAACATAATTTTTTTAAATGTTTGTGTTTGTTTCCTTGCAGGTAAAAGACGAAGAAGGAGTTTACCGAACGTGTCAAGTCTCAGTAAAATCCTGCGGATCGACAGACGGAGAACGTAACCCTATAACTTACAGTGATCCTCATGTTATTCCTGTATGGGCCCTGTAGACAACAGGACAGACTTTGAAATTGTGACTACTGTTAATTTATTGCTTTATATTATTTATTTCCTACCTTGGATAATTTATTAAATGTTTTTGCATTTATTAAAAGCGAAGTTTTGCTTTTTCCGTGACTGGTGTAGAATAAAAATGTCGGGATTTCGGATTGTTATATTTTGTTTTGAAGTTAGAGTTTATTCTCTGAATGATAAAGGAATCCCAACCTTGAAATCAGAGATTTTTGTATTTATTATTTATTATTTTTAAGTCCACAACATATATGTATTAAAATTTTGAAATTAATTTTTTTTATCCATTTCCAATTTAGTTTAAAAAGTAACACAAAAAGCAAATTGTTTTATTTCAAAATGAAATGTGTTATCGAAGATAGGCTCTTGTCTAGTTATAGATTTAACAAAACTTTATATTATTAATTAGCTAATATATTTTTTTTAAAGAAAAATATTTACCGGAAAATATTAGGTTAGTAATATTTTGAATTGCCATGAGGAAAAGGAATCTTACTTTTGATTCATTATTTTGTGTTAACTTCAATGTTAATTTCTTTGTTAACTTCTTTGTTAACTTCCGTTCTTTGATGACTGTTAAAACAAAGTTGTGTTACCCGCGAGTTGCTTTCACCGTGTGTACCATAGCGTTAGAGCCCCTGATTTGTGTTACCTAGCAACCATCTCACTGTTACCATGGGAACCCAGTTTTGTTGTCATTTGTCAAAACCCTGTCGTCTGCTTACAGTGGGAAAATTTTGGAAAAATTCAAAATGTTGAAATTAATTTATGCTTAAACTTTATTTATTTGACGATTGTATTTTCAATTTTTTTTTTAGATTTAAAATATGTCCATCTTTTCGGAGTTTTCGTATTCAAATTACTAACATTTGTATATGCGAATTTTTTTTATTAAAATATGTAATTATTTTTAAAAATATTATTTATTTGAAACCAATATTAATTTATCATATCCTTAAAAATTACAATTTCAAAAGAATTTAAACATAGACTGAAAATAATAAAAATATGAAATGGAACGGATTTTATTGATTAATTTATAAACACATATTACTTTTAATTTTAAATTTCGACCGTGGGTGTAATTTTATGTTCGAAAATATTTTCATGAAATTTGTGTTATATTTACACGGCTAAAGACGGGAACCACGTGGTTTTTGTGTCGCCCTCCATATAGTCTCGGGCTGTGAACATTCCATAGACAAACGAGGTGTATACCCTATTGAAATAATTATTTACAGTCAATACAAATCTCGAATTACTTTATGTTTCACCATTTGTGTAGCTTTAAGATGTCGTCCCTAAAACTTAACTAAACTTAAGGTCACATTTTGCAGGCTAATGAAGATCAGAAAATATAAACTCAACATGTATACTCCCTAACACTTATCCTAAACTTAACGTGACATTTCGTAGGTTAATGAATATCAGAAAATATGAATTCGATATATACTGTCTAACCCTTACCCAAACCTACATTTTAGTTATCGTTTAGACTAATGTCTAAGTCAAATTTCGCAGGTTAACATTAAGCTCTTCGATTTTCGTTCCGAAACATCATCTTCTGAATGATTATTAAATTGTCTTTATTACATAAATTTATTAAAATTATAGTTTTTAGTCAGAACTTTCTACTAATTGCTAAATCCACACAAGAAAAACGACTTAGTTTTATTTTAAAATGTTGACAAATTTTTTTTAATTTAAAAAAAAATCTTCTCATTGCCAAACCAGCCTGAAGATTGAATGCCATATTTAATTTCCAATCCACGTTTGTTCAAGCACTTGTCCTTTTATCTTGGTGAATAGTACTTTAACCGAAATAGTGTTATTTATAGGGACGCACGCAATATTTAAAAAATTGGGATTACTTTTTTTTTTAAATTCAAAACAAAAATTAACCTATACATCGTGAAAAAAAAATAATAATTTGTTTATTTTGCCTTAAAATAGGTTAACGAGGCTAAAAAACTATGAAAAATTAAGAAAATAAATTTTAATTTCGACATTAAGTTCAAATTCTGTATTCTGCTTTTCGTTCAGACTAGAACAAGAATTTTTTAAGTTTAAAAATGACAATTCAACTTGTGGTTTCAGAAATTTTAAAAAATGTAAAGCAAATTACAATTTTTTTTCTAACAACATATCAGAAAACACAATATATTTTTAGATTCGGTCAATTATAATAAATGTAGGAAAATAAAATGCATGGGTCAGTTCAGAATTTGAAGAACTTCTTACTTTTAAATGTTGGAATAGATTCTCCCCAACACACTTAAGTATTACGTGTCAACTTTTATGCGCCATATAGGCCGTTCAAAAGCTAATCTTTCATTAATTGATATAGGTAGGAAAACATTATTTTAAAGACGTTAATACAGTGTTTTCCAACCACGGTTATGAATTACAGTTTATCTTATATCAACAAATGTCATTTTCTTTTATCTCTGTATACAGCACTAACGTTGTTTATCATAAACTTGATACATTTCTGTTTTGAGATTTATTGTAAATTTAGATAACACGGTATTTATGTTGTAAGCAGTCATTTACTAGAACTAAACAAGCGAAATTAATTAAGGTAATTTATTGTATTATTTATAAATATGTATATAAATACATATGTATATAAATGCATATGTATACCAATATATATATGTATATAAATACATATTTATCTTAGACGAAATATTTAAAATACTTACAGAAGTCTTATGCTGTTTATTGGAATAAAATATTTTTAAGTTGTAAGTTTATTGATTCAGTGAGTAAATAAAACATTGACAAGGCTATCATAAAAAGCGCATGAGTTTATTCTATTTTTGTAATACCAGATTTTGTCGTTTCTCTGTAGTGTAATACAATATTTGTGTTCGATTTTTGTTGTGCATATATGTTGCTGAAGCAGAGGAACTCTACTTCATCTGTCTTGGGCACGAACGGGAAAGGTTGATGGTATGTTGCTATAAAGGTGAAAAATAAACGAATAAAAGATAAGTATAAATGAAAACTTTAGTAAACAAATATAACAAAGTAGGCCCTATACAGTTTCTATAAAAACAACTACTGTTTCTATAACAACAATTAGTTTCTATAACAACAACTATTGTCTATAACAACAACTACAGTTTCTATAACAACAACTACAGTTTCTATAACAACAGCTACAGTTTTTATAGCACAATTGAAATTTGTGTTACTCAACTATAGTTTGATAAACATTTCTTTTCTATCATCTTTACAACTTAGATATTTGAAGAGTAATTATTGCAACAACTTGCAGTAGTTATTACCACTTTCGTTCACTTAGCTGAAACGGTACTTAAGTTATCGGTATTTGAGAAAACGGAAAGAGAGTAAAGTACGGGAAATGGATTAAAGAACTGATAGAAACCTGGGTATAGGGTTTAATAACGAAAAGTGGTTTTCTTAACTGAAACGGTAATCAAGTATTATCTCCCTGTTTGCCGAGATGATTGAAACAGATTAACTCTACTTTATCTGCCCCATATGTTTGGGCATGACTGGAAAAGATGATAATGATAATTTCTATCTAACGCTAAAGCACAAAACGTGTTTTTAATCCATTCAGAAATGGCGAATATTTAATTAACAAGATTAATGTTTGTGCCATTCAGAGGTGTAGGTACGGGGTTGTAAAATAATATTGGTAGCTTCCCGCTAAAAAAATCAATCAAGCGAAATTAATTATTTTGCGTTGGTTTAGGTATTTTTTATTCATTAGTTTTTTATACTGCTGTTTGTCTTTTATTCACTAAAAGTTATTAAACAAAATGAATGGCCTGCATGCCTAAGCTTAGGGTGTGGGTATTGCTGGGTTATTTATTCAAGATGAATAGAGGTGGTGAAACATTTGTCATCCAGCTGTAATGTGCTTAAGCTAAAGTATGGGGACAAGTTTTGGCGACAAATCCATGCGACAAGTTCTGATGACAAGTGTTGGGGACAAGTTCTGATGACAAGTTCATATGACAAGTTCTGATGACAAGTTCTGATGACAAGTTCTAAATACAAGTTCTGATAGTAAGCTCTGATGAGAAGTTCTGATGACAAGTTTTGATGACAAGTTCTGATGACAAGTTCTGATGACAAGTTCTGATGACATGCTCTGGTGACAAGTTCTAAATACAAGTTCTGATAGTAAGCTCTGATGAGAAGTTCTGATGACAAGTTCTGATGACAAGTTCTGATGACAAGTTCTGATAACAAGTTCTAATGATCTAATGTCAAGTTCTGATAACAAGTTCTAAATACAAGTTCTGATAGAAAACTCTGATGACAAGTTCAAATGACAAGTTCTGATGACAAGTTCTGATGACAAGTTCTAAATACAAGTTCTGATAGTAAGCTCTGATGAGACGTTCTGGCGACAAATTCAGACGACGAACTCTGACAACGAGCTTTAAGAACCAGTTCTGATGACAAGTTTTGATGACAGGTCCTTGCCACAAGTTCTGGCGACAGTCCCTGATGACAAGTCCATGAGACAAGTTCTTGCAACACGTTCTGATGACGACCTTTTTGGACAAGTTCTGATGTCAAGTTCTAGCGACAAATCATTTCAACAAATCCTTGCGACAAATTCTGCTGACACGTCTTTGCAACATGTCCTTGCGACAAGTTCTGATGATGAATTCTGAAGACAAGTTCTGGTAACAAGTCCTTGCGACAAGTTCATGCGACAAGTTTGTAAACAAGTTCGGACGACAAGTCGTGAAGACAAGATTTGAGAACAAGTTCTGTTAAAATATTCTGACTACAAGTTCTGACTACAAGTTCTGACGACAAGTTCTGATGACATGTTCTGATGACAAGTTCTGATGACAAGTTGTGACAACAAGTTCTGATGACAAGTTGTGATGACAAGTTCTCATGACAAGTTCTTATAACAAGTTTTGATGACAAGTTCTGACGACAAGTTCTGACGACAAGTTCTGACGACAAGTTCTTACACTTTCCTAGCCAGCCCAAACTAAAAACTGAAGTCCCCTTAGCTCAGTGTACACGTTGTTCTGGATAGCTGTCAATGACCTTTCAAGTGGCCGGTATCTCTCGGACTGGTCAGCTCGCCGGTCAGTTGATTCAGTCCAGTCAAACTCAGCCACCATCTGCCAACTAGACGGAAACAATAGACCGGAAGTTAGTCTAGATCGTTCGATGAATAGACGGTACAGGAAACGGTTGATTTCTTCAGTCGATGGGGTGGGGTGGAGAGGGAGGACAAAAGGCGGGGAATAGACGGGATGGGGAAGGAGGGCATAGCGTGATAGGATAGGGAAAGATTTGGGTGGGGGGGGGGAGGATAGGGAAAAGAGATGAGTAAGAGAGGGGTGGGGATGAGAGGGGTGGGAAAATAAGGGGAGGGAGGTTTGAGGGGTGGGTAAGATTGGGGCTGGAAAAAAAGTGTGAAAGGTAAATGGCACAACAACAAAAGAATGAAGCGGTCCACTACTCGGAGTTTCTCTTCCCCCCCCCCCCCCCCGATTAAAATTGGATTTATATAGAAAATGTATACTTTTAACATTCCCCCCCCCCCCTCTGCCTACCCCAGTAAAATTTTAGTCCAACCCCCAAAAAATTTCAAGTGCCCCCCGCGGAGAAATAAGTCTGCAAGAAACACTGCCGCTACTTAATGTAGTATATACCTCCACTTTTCCACTTTGACAATAACCTTTTTTCAAACACCTAATATAATGGTACAATTAACCATAACTGCAAAGACAATGAGGATGTTTTGTTTTGCCTTGGTGCATTACAAAAATACATCTGTAATACGTAGCCCCCTCTTGATAGCCTGGGTACTGCATCCCACTGTACTGTCCAGGTCCCATGGGCATCCCGCCCATCCCTGGGCCGGGCATCCTCATCCAGAGGATGATTTACCCAGAGAAAGCGGGTTCGAATACTTGCTAGAGTTAACAAAGTAAACTAGAAAGATTGTTTGAAGCGAATAGAAACTTATATTTTTAAAGAACTAGATAAAAATGCCAATAAATCCTGCCTTTTTATATATAAAAATGTAGAAAGAAAAGTGAAAAGATAAAATTGTATTTATATTGGTATGAAAGTCAAAATATCGTCAAAATACACACCCATATCAAGCACATTATTTAAATACTTCAAATAAAAATCGCTGTATCGTGTAGTCTGATTATTCACTTCACTTTGTTTTCCATTTTTTTAAAGACAAAAACAAAAAAGAGAAAGTTTTTTTTTCTAAG